AACACAATCCGTTGCACGCGGGATGCCATATAAAGTTACCGCGAGAAATTGTGGTGAAGAAAGCGGTGATCAACATCAAATCTGAGGACAATGCATGTTTCGCGTGGGCAGTGGTGGCCGCTCTGCATCCTGCTAAAAGTCATGTGGATTGAGAATCCTCCTATCCGTCTTATGCGGAGGTATTAAATCTTAAAGACATTGAGTTTCCAATGACGATGAGTCAAATTAAAAAGTTTGAAAATCTCAACGCCATTTCAATCAACGTCTATGGCATCGAGACGATGGATGAACAACATACGATCCTTCCAATACGGCTCACGAATCAAAAAACGGAGAAACATATTAATTTGCTATACGTGGAAGAAGAAAACAGCAACGATGGGCATTTCACATGGATCAAGAATCTGTCTTGTCTTGTCCGCTTACAATTGACCAAAAATAAGAATAAGAAATTTTTTTTGTAATAGGTATGTATACAGTAAATAAAAAAATTATATAAAATATTTATTTCTTGAAAAATAATAAAAATTATTTATATTTTTATAGATGTTTACATTATTTCGGCTCGAGCGAAAAACTGGAGACTCACGTAGTAGATTGTGATAAGATGAACAACTGCGCAATCAGGTTACCGAGCGAAGACGACAAGTGGCTTTGTTTTAACAATAACAGGAAGGAGCGAATGCCATTCGTCGTGTACGCGGACCTTGAGTGTATCCTGGAAAAGACGGACAACGAGGAAACAATGAGCTACGAGTACCAGCATCGTCGGGTATTTAGTATAGCTTATTATGTTTATTGTTCATACGACAACTCGTTGTCAGCGTATCGATTTCGGCGCGATAAGGATTGCATAGCGTGATTCGTCGAAGAACTTAAAGATTTAGCACACAGAGTAAAGTCCGCTCTGTCCGGTAACGTTCCGATGGCGGAATTGACGCGCGACGAACGCGATAAATTTAACAGCGTCGCGAATTGTCACATATGCGAGAAAACGTTTGCGCCTGACGACACGCGGGTACGCGATCACTGTCATCTAACTGGTCGATTCAGAGGTCCCGCGCATTCCAACTGTAATTTAAATTACAAAGATTCGCATTGTATTCCCGTAGTTTTCCACAATTTATTGGGCTATGACGCGCATTTTATTATTAAAGAAATAGAGCTACCGCATACGATGGAGACGTAGATTTACTTCCGGTAACAAAAGAGAAATACATTTCATTCACCAAGCATGTTAAAAGTACTACAGAGAAAAAAAATAATCGTAAAATTTGCGTACAATTACGATTCATTGACTCATACAAATTTCTCAGTTCGAGTCTCGAAAAATTGGCTTCATATCTCACGAATGATAAACTACGGATAATGCAGCGCGAATTTTGTAATTTATCTGCTGAGCATTTCGAATTACTGACGCGAAAAGGCGTGTTTCCATACGAGTATATTGACTGCTATGAAAAGTTGGAGGATACGCATTTACCACCGCGCGAATCGTTTTATAGTTCGCTAACAGGCGACACCGTGTCCGAGAGCGACTATGAGCACGCGGTCAACGTATGGCAACGATTCTCAATTCAAACTCTCGGAAATTACAGCGATCTATATTTGAAAACGGACATCTTGCTGCTAGCAGATATTTTTGAAAATTTTCGCGATAGCTGCATAACGAGTTATAGACTCGATCCCGCGCATTATTTCACATTGCCGGGTTTCACGTGGGACGCCATGCTAAAATTCACGGATATTAAATTCGAACTTCTCACTGACATAGACATGGTCATGTTTATCGAGCGCGGTATACGTGGCGGCCTTAGCCAATGTTCAAACAGATATGCGAGGGCCAATAATAAATACATGTCATCGCATAACCCATCGAAACCATCGTCGTATCTCATGTACTACGATGTAAATAATCTGTACGGTTGGGCAATGTGTCAACCATTGCCCTATGCAGATTTTCGATGGGTCAGCGACACAGCAAAATTTAATGTTATGGATATCGCGTTAGATTCTGCAATAGGCTACATTCTCGAGGTCGATCTAGAGTATCCGCAGCATTTACACGACGCACATGCCGACTTACCATTCTGTCCAACGCAAGATAAACCGCCTGGCAAGCGGCAAGAAAAACTCCTCGCAACTTTACGTGATAAGAAGCGATATGTAATTCATTATCGCAATTTGCAGCAATGTACTCGTCATGGTCTCCGTATCACAAAAATTCATCGCATATTGCAATTCGCTCAATCTCCATGGCTTCGTGAATATATTGAATTAAATACACAATTTAGAACACAAGCCACGAATGAATTTGAGAAAAATTTATATAAATTGATGAATAACGGTATTTGGTAAAACCATGGAGAATGTGCGAAATCACGTTGATGTGCGATTATTAACAAAATGGAATGGTAGATATCAGACAGAGGCGATGATCGCGAAACCAAATTTCCACAGCAGAAGCGTCTTTTCCGAGAATCTGGTCGCAGTAGAAATGCGTAAACTCGAGGTGAAGTTCAACAAGCCGATTTACGTAGGTATGTCTATCCTCGATATATCGAAAGTCTGCTTGTATGAATTTCACCACGAGTACATGTTACCTTCGTTTCGTGAAAAATGCAAAATAATGTACACCAACACAGATAGTCTCATATATCATCTTAAATGCAGCAATATATATGAAATTATGAAACGTGATATAAATAAGTTTGACACAAGCGATTATGCGGCCAATAATGCATATGGTATACCTCTCGCGAATAAGAAAGTACCAGGCCTGATGAAGGATGAGAATAGCGGTGCGATTATGACCGAATTCATTGGACTTAGAGCGAAGATGTATGCCTTGCGCGTCGATGGTAAAAGAGATACGAAGAAGGCAAAAGGCGTCAAGA